ATTTTGTGGGAAAAAATGCATTTATCCCACATAGGAAAATCAAGGAAACTTAAACCACTTTATATATGGTTATGTTTTGGAGATGTGTAATCATATATAGTATAGAGGCTCTCTTCACGTGCGTGCGCAGGGGGTTCAAATCACGAATCGAAATGGCCTTCGGACCTTAAACTTGGGTGCGGGCGCAACCTGCGCACACGAATGTCGGACCGAACAAGGCAAAAATGGCCCCATCGGTGAGCCCACGTTTTGTCATTTTTTTTTTGCTTTCTCCAATGACTTTTTAGTTTCTCAACTGAAAAAACTCCAATGGACTCCCAATGGTCACAGTGTTAATGGGAAGTAACTCCAACGGACTCCCAATGGTCACAATATTAATGGGCAGTATGCCTATAAAAATGCTCATTCTCCAACAATCTAACACACTCTAAAATCTCACCTACATTCCTACATACACAATTTTTTCTTTTCTGCATTCTTTGTCCAGTAAGGTCTTGTTCTTGTGGTGATATTGTTCGGACACTAGATCAGTTCGTCGGAGTAGAACCGCGGTGCTCGAATTCTACTTATTACCGTTGTATCCTGGGAGAAGCCGCTCGAACTGAACCTCCAGTACTTACGGTGAGGGGGCGAAACTGTCTTAAGGAAACTGTGCACGCACAGGCCTCGATTTGAAATCTGCTGCAATTTGTGTTTTCTTTCTGCAGATTTATTTAGTTGCAGTTCGTGTAGTTTCTTTGCAAATTCAGTTTATCCTTGCAGTTTTAGTTTTCATTTATTTCTGCAGATTATTTTTGCATTACTATTTAATTCATGCAGCTTGTAGTTACATAGTGTGCAGCTTCCAGAGTTCTAGCCTGCTGTTAACTTATATTTCTGATTTTGTATTGCTAAAAATTTTTTTTTCAGCCGTTGGAAAAATTCTGAAACGGAATTTTTTTGATAAATTGAAATCGTTTACCTTGTGGCTATTAATTTCAATAGTCGGCTATTGCAATTGAATAAAACTTATACAATTGGTTTCATCCACTAACGACTTGTTTTCCTACAGTTACAACTTTCAAATATCTTTGAAATAATATAGAAACCATCATATAATATTTCTATGACGTATAATTTACATGTACGATATTATAATCATTGGATACATAGTTCAAAAATCATCTGGAATTCTTTCTTTTGGAGGCCATTACAATTAAAACAAATACACGTCACTTAGTTTCTCTTTTAACAAATATGACCATACATTTATTTTTTCACAAATCAAACATTTATTATCAAAACAATTAAAGTACCTATTATTAATATTTCAGTTTATATCTTCGTGATAATCGAAGTAAAAATGTATGAAACTTAATTTTTAGAATTCAAATTCCTTCAATTTCTATATAGCTTACTTTCTTTACTGTGATATAGAGAGAGAAAGAGCATCCTTCGTGTTTAGAAATCGACAAAAATATATTTAGCAAGAGAGAAAAGCATTGACACCAAATTTTCTTCACACATTCAATGACAAAATTTTTGTCATCTTTAAAACTACGAAATAGCCTCTTGTCTCCGTTAGACTGAGATGATTAGCACATCCAATAAAGAAAGTAAGCAATTGGACCCATTTTTCAAACTTGAAATTCTTTCTCAATAAATGTTATTAGATTGATAGGTAACGTATATCCACACTTGCAATTCAAACTATGATACAAGATATTTCAATTCACGGTATTAGTTTTGAAGCACTATTAAGGGCACAGGCTGGTGGAAGTGCACGACATGGATAGATTTCACACGCACCGGTCCTTATAAAAATATATATTTGGTGTATATAATATAACATGTATTAGGTGTTTGCTTGGTCCTTATAAAAATAGATATATTGATAGACATGTAATAATCTATTGTTACATGACATGTAATAAAAATATAATGTTTAAAATAGACAAAGTTGATGACATGATCTATCACCAATTTCATGTGTCTATTCTATAATAGAACAGTTCTTTGAATTTTATTATGATCGTTGACAGTTAATGATTAAAAGTCACCCTAACTCACTTGAGATTTTGGATCCGTCATTGAAGATTTCGATAATTTAGGGTCTAAAATTGTTTTGGTTTACAATTGATGCACGCTAGAAATGGCATTTAGCTTTTTATCTACTTACAAACTATGGTGCTAAAAATATTATTAAAATTCGTCAAATTTGCAATTCCTGGCCTTGCACGCATTGCATATCACAAATCAAAATAGAACTTTTTAATATAATATTTAGTCTATGTTTGGTGGGGATAAAAAGTAATAAAATGTGTGAATGAAAAGTTGTGTATCCCATAAAAATATGTAATTAAAAGTTAAAACTAATTGTTGACTTAGATTTGAAAAAAAAAAAAAAATAATAAGATTATAATCCTACCAAACAGAAGCTTTTGAGCCCCAGTTTGAGGATT